GAACGTTTCATGTTCTTGTTCTCCGATTTTCATTGTCCAATGTTGGATGGAGCCCGAACAAACATATATTGTTCCCTGTCTCAAGAGAGGTCTCTCCGCCATTAAGGTCTTCAAATGGAGGTTTTGATCGTCATATATCCACAAAAAATCAGAGGAAAACTTTTATTTAGTGACCAAAACATAAATGAGGTTAAAATGGAGTGATAAAATTTATAATTTACCCTGTTTTAAACATTAGAAAGCGACGTATATCCATTTTTAAAATAACCTCTCTTTTTAAAAAAATAAAACAAATTAAAAGCCAAACATTAGAAATCTACGTGGATTCTTAGCCCTACCTACCACCGTCCCACTTTTTTTTTATTATTTTACTTTTCGGGGGGAGATTACTTTATTTATTTATTCATTCATGGGGAAAACTTAGGGATGGAAATGGGTCGGGTCGGGTCGGGTTTTTGGGCGACCCGACCTGAGAAGAAAGGGTTCTCCACCCGTGACCCGACTCGACTCGACAAAATTAATGTTTCACCCGACCCGAACCGACCCGAATATATGACTTAGAAATCAGACCCGACCCGACCCGAAAAAAAAAAAAAATAATAATTCAATGAAAACAGTGACTTAATTGAAAAAAATTATATATGGAGGGATATTATTGTAATTATCCCTAAATATATAAGATAAAATTATATATATATTTCGGGTCGGGTCGGGTCGGATTTTTTTTACCCTAAACCCGACCCGAACAGTGCATTTAAAAAAAACCCGACCCGACCCGAACCCGAATTTTTTTTTAAAAAAATCCGACCCGATCGGGTCGGGTCGGATCGGAACCCGTCGGATTCGAGTTGAGTTGCCATCCCTAGGAAAACTGTCGTCTTCATGAATAAAGAAAACATTTAATTAGTAATATAATAAGGTTTAATATAAAAATAAGTATGTAAATTAAAGTTAAAATTAACTTTTTGAATATAAAAATTTTTTCGTTAAAAATATATGCATAAAATTTTGTCTGTTATATTTTAAGTGTCTATTGTTAAAAAATCATTAAGTGACACATGATATATCTAGATTTTAAAAAAACATATTTATTTAAATACTATTTTAATTTTTTTAAAAATTTGAACGTGACATATGTCACTCAATAATCTTTTTTAAATTTAAACACCTAAAGTTATAACGAAAAAAATTTTAAACACATATTTTTAACAACAAAATTCTTTAAATATTAAAAATATTTTTGAGATATTATTTAAATACTTACTTATGTACTAGGACATATAATAATAATAACCCTTCCTCCTACATGAAGACTCATCGCTTTGCATACATATTTATGTATTTTCTCAGTAGGATAAATTATACTTGAGATTATTTAAATACGATGATTTGCTTTATCTTTCTTCTAGGGTTTTCCCTAGAAACAATCTCACCCTTTTTTATTATTATTAAAGTTTGTGTCGATTTATATAGATAATATATATATATATATAATTTTGTTTAGCTTACGACGATATCATTGTGATGCTGATTATCGACCATTGATTCTTTTTTTTAATTTTTAATAAGAATAATTTTATCTTTGTGACATTTTTATCTTCTTTTATTGGTCGTTTGATCGTTCTTTTCTCTTCATGTTTTTCAGAGTAGAATTTGACGACGTCACGACTGATCAAAATGACGTTTATTTATAATCTTGTTGATCTTTCTTACTCTGAAGTCAAGTTTGTCTACCCACCTTCTTTTATTGATTTTCTATCTTTTTCATCCTATTCTATTTTCGTTTTCAGTTTTTAAATTTTTCGTTAGACCAAAACCATATTTCACTTTTGATTCTATTTGATTCTATTTAATCGACAAAATCAAAATGGGATGTGTAAACCAAAAGTTATGTTTATACGAAAATTCTTTCGATTAACCAACTAGTTACGAAATTGTGTTGATAGCCTCTACTCGTGTCCTATCCCGTATGAGAGCTAGATTTGCCTCAATTGTTTGTCTCTTGCCTTCAGCTTTCCTAAAGTTAGCTTCCGCTATTTCAAGAGCTTGTTGAGCCTATTGTGGATCAATGTCAATACCCTTCTCAACATCATTTACTAAAATAGTGATTTCATTGTTGAACCACCCATCAGAGCCATCGTTAACCATCGATCGTTAAGGTGTGTTCTCAAAACACTATATCTACAGCTCTGGCAATAGCTGCGTAATTTTGTAATACATCAATTTGTCCTCTATTAATAGATAAAATGATTTCTATCACTTATGAATACCAACAAAATTCGATTAGGGTAAGTACTTCAATTTGCTCTCTATCTCTAAGTTTCTCACTATATTAGGTTCTGATTTGCAGTTCTCAGTGGTCTTTCAATAGTTTAATCATCTTTTTTAGTTCATTTACGGATGCAATCAAATTTATTCGTATCTATTTATCGTTCGAGTCTATTGGTTGGGTTTTTAACATTTTCATATATGATCTAAAATGACTAGTTTCTTGTTCCAATATTATAGAAAAATGTCCAAATTATATATTTAATTTACGATATTAGTTGTAGACTCTTATTATAATTTTAAATATTTTTACAATTTAATAAAACTAGGATTTCAAAAAAAAAGTGATGATTTTATTTAATAATTTTTTTATAATGCTGATTAAGTCATGCATTATTAATATTAATAGAAGAATATGTTAATAAAATTAGTATAGTTTATATTTAATCCTCATCACTTATTCATTCAATTAATTTAATTTTAATTTAATAAATTTAATTTTTATTATTTACTTAAATTTGATTTTCCCTCGATTCCATAAAATAAAAATCATTAAATTTAAACAAAAATACACTTTTGTCTGCATATTCATGTAATATATTCTCCGTTTTTGGGGCCTTTTAAACTCAATTATATTTTATATTAAACTTCATTTGTACTTTTGCTATATATTATATAATATGCAGGACCCATCGGGTTCACGGCTAGTCCAACACCGACAGCCATGATTCTTTTTGTTTTCTCCGAAAGTAACGATGATTTTAATTTAATATATTTCCTGTTGTTCGTGTCCGTGTTCGTATTCGTATTAATATTTATAATCTATTTTTTATATTGATTCGAATCAAGATAGGTTACATCAAGCGACAATAGGGGTAAAGGTTTCTCTAAGACATTCAAATATAATGTGTTGTTCGATGATCAAGTGATCGAAAAACACGATTATCTTGTTCAATAAAAAAGGTTTTCCAATAATAAGGGTAACTAAAAATGGATCGATATATTATAATAATTTAAAGACAATGTGGATTAGTTTCGATCTAAAAACACAACGATGATATCGTTAAATTCGATGGGAGAAAATATATCAAAGATTTGAATTTAAATTTTTATAAATATGTAGTTTTATTCAATGTTATGGTATGATATAATATATTATTAATAATATTGAAAGTTCTTTTACCAAAAAATAATATTCAACGTTTGATAAAATATCATATATTTATTATTATTTATAAAAAAACATATATTTATTGAAATATTTTAGTTAATTAATTGACGTTTTATGTCTATATAAAATTATTTATTATATCAAACGAATAAAAAACTAACAAAAAAAAAGTGAGAAAGTTAGACTAAAGTCCACGAAAATATGCACTTTGGATTCTCCGAAAACGGAATCCATGATCATTGTTTTTATTTTATGGGAGAATGACCTTTCTAGTCCCCTAATTTTACTAATTTAATTATTTTAGCGAGTAAACTTTTAATATATAATTTTAATTCTCAAACTTTTATTTTTTTTATCAAACTAGTTCAAATATAATATAAAATAATGTTATTTTGTTCTTATTGAGACACTGACGTCAACTATCTCATCGTTTTAATCACTTCATTGAAATTTTTAAAAAATATATTTTTGAAAAATAAAAAGTAAAACCAACATTTCATTAAGGATGAATTAATTGATATTTTAATGACATGACAAAAGAGAAAAAAAAAGATGATTGATGATAGTTTAAAGACGTAATTATTGTTTTATCATATTTGAATTAATTTGATAAAAATAAAATTCTGGATTTTATACTCATCAGGGATAAAATTCTTCTTCACCTCCTTTAAGTAGAAATTGTTCAAAAAAAAATGTATTAAAAGTTTAAGGGCTAATATAACTAAACCAATAAAGTTGGATGCCAAAATGGTAATTTTACCCATTTTTATATTTTATAATAAAAACTTTTAGAAGTGTTTATAATATGATTTCTATAGGACTATGATTCGATGCTCTGTTACATTTATTGGCGTATTACCCGCCTAGCTCAGTTGGTTGAGCGCAAGACTCTTAATCTTGTAGTCGTGAGATCCGAGTCCCACGATGAGCAATTCATAATTCTGACTGCTGGAGGTCTTCCACGGAAGTTGCTCTCAACCTGGTGTTGGGGGCAACCTACTACCATACATCTCCCTTACCCCATTACATATGAGAATAAGGTCATCTAATTTTATAATTAGAAGATCATTTTGTAACTTTTAATAGTCCAGATACTTAATAAAATATCACTATATGGTCGGGAGATGATCTATTTACTTTACTATTTTTATAAGTACACTTTAATGAAAAATGTTTGTTGAATTTAATTTTTTATATGTTATAAACATTTTTAAGCGATAATATATATTCTAAATACTCTCAATTATTTAATAATGAACCTCTAAGGATAACAATGATTCCTTTAACTATCGAAATTATTTTATTCGAAATATAGTGACTGACACATTTCAATATCTTAAGTTTATTTTCAATTTAATCCTCCATATTCACTCATTAATTGATTAGAAGAGTCACATTAGTTTATCGCAATAAAAAGGCCAAAATAGTGGACAAAGCAAAATTTAAGATCCATATTAGAAATATGAATATAGTTCAGGGGCTAGTATTTTATTATACCAAAACTAGTATACAACTTTGTTGTCAATAGTTCCTTGTAAACCCCGCCATTATATTTTTCTTTCTTCCATCAAAGCATTCACAATCCAGTGTCACTTTCTGCTTTCATTTCTCCAAATCTCCTCTCTCCGACCAACATTAGCAGCCATGACCGCCGCCGAGGCAACCGTCGCCACGACAACCCTTCTCAGCCCCCGCCACAAGCGTTCCGGCAGAGCTAACGGAAAAGGAAACGGCGTTAAAGTCACGGCAAGCAAGAAAACCGGCGTTCATCACGCCGACGGTGACATTCCTCACGGGAAGGCATCGTTCATGAAATGGACACTGGACGACGTCGTTTATGTCGCGAAATATCACCGGATACCCTGCTTTTTTGCGGCGGGGCTGTTGTTTTTCATTTACGTGGAATACACGCTCCGGATGGTGCCGGACTCTTCACCGCCGTTTGATCTGGGGTTCGTCGTCACACGCTCCTTCCATCGCGCACTGGCTTCGTGGCCGGAACTTAATTCCATTTTAGCCGCTCTTAATACGGTATGCGACTGTTCATTTCCTGTTTCCTTTTGAAAAGTTTAGACTCGATTGGATTCCGAATATAATCAGAGATCACGAGACGACTATGAGATATCCGGAGATCTCAAACCAAAAACAACAAGAAAATGTGGGTTTTGTTTTTGAATTCAATTTGCTGAGTTCAATTCGTGGCCTCTGAAAGTTCTACAATTGAGCTCGGACCACACAAAATACAAATGAGCGCTCTAAGCTACCTTCAAAATACAAGAAATCAGCGATGATTAGTTCATATATGATCTTTATATGATCTAAAATGACTAGTTTCTTATTCCAACATTATAGAAAAATGTCCAAATTATATATTTAATTTACGATATTAGTTGTAGACTCTTATTATAATTTTAAATATTTTTACAATTTAATAAAACTAGGATTTCAAAAAAAATGTGATGATTTTATTTAATAATTTTTTATAATGCTGATTAAGTCATGCATTATTAATATTAATAGAAGAATATGTTAATAAAATTAGTATAGTTTATATTTAATCCTCATCACTTATTAATTCAATTAATTTAATTTTAATTTAATAAATTTAATTTTTATTATTTACTTAAATTTGATTTTCCCTCGATTCCATAAAATAAAAATCATTAAATTTAAACAAAAATACACTTTTGTCTGCATATTCATGTAATATATTCTCCGTTTTTGGGGCCTTTTAAACTCAATTATATTTTATATTAAACTTCATTTGTACTTTTGCTATATATTATATAATATGCAGGACCCATCGGGTTCACGGCTAGTCCAACACCGACCGCCATGATTCTTTTTGTTTTCTCCGAAAGTAACGATGATTTTAATTTAATATATTTACAGGTTGCTCGTGTTCGTGTTCGTATTCGTATTAATATTTATAATCTATTTTTTTATATTGATTCGAATCAATATAGGTTACATCAAGCGACAATAGGGGTAAAGGTTTGTCTGTGGCATTCAAATATACTGAGTTGTTCGATGATCAAGTGATCGAAAATACGATTATCTTGTTCAATAAAAAAGGTTTTCCGATAATAAGGTAACTAAAAATGGATCAATATATTATGATAATTTAAAGACATTGTGGATTAGTTTCGATCTAAAAACACAACGATGATATCGTTAAATTCGATGGGAGAAAATATATCAAAGATTTGAATTTAAATTTTTATAAATATGTAGTTTTATTCAATGTTATGGTATGATATAATATATTATTAATAATATTGAAAGTTCTTTTACCAAAAAATAATATTCAACGTTTGATAAAATATCATATATTTATTATTATTTATAAAAAACATATATTTATTGAAATATTTTAGTTAATTAATTGACTGTTTTATGTCTATATAAAATTATTTATTATATCAAACGAATAAAAAACTAACAAAAAAAAGTCCACGAAAATATGCACTTTGGATTCTCCGAAAACGGAATCCATGATCATTGTTTTTATTTTATGGGAGAATGACATTTCTAGTCCCCTAATTTTACTAATTTAATTATTTTAGCGAGTAAACTTTTAATATATATTTTTAATTCTCAAACTTTTATTTTTTTTATCAAACTAGTTCAAATATAATATAAAATAATTTTATTTTATTCTTATTGAGACACTGACGTCAACTATCTCATCGTTTTAATCACTTCATTGAATTTTTTAAAAAAATATATTTTTGAAAAATAAAAAGTAAAACCAACATTTCATTAAGGATGAATTAATTGATATTTTAATGACATGACAAAAGAGAAAAAAATGATTGATGATAGTTTAAAGATGTAATTATTGTTTTATCATTTTTGAATTAATTTGATAAAAATAAAATTGTGGGTTTAATACTCATTAAAAATAAAATTCTTCTCCTTTAAGTAGAAAATGTTCAAAAAAAAAAAGAAATGTACTAAAAGTTTAAGGGCTAATATAACAAAACCAATAAAGTTGGATGCCGAAATGGTAATTTTACCCATTTTATATTTTATAATAAAAACTTTTAGAAGTGTTTATAATATGATTTCTATAGGACTATGATTCGATTCTCTGTTACATTTATTGGTGCATTGTATATAATAAAGCAACACATATTAGAAAATTATTTTGTAATTTTTAATAGTCGAGAGACTCAATAAAATATCACCCTATGGTCGGGAGATCATCTATTTACTTTACTCTTTTTATAAGTACACTTTAATGAAAAATGTTTGTTGAATTTAATTTTTTTATATGTTATAAACATTTTTAAACGATAATATATATTTTAAATACTCTCAATCGTTTAATAATTAACCCTCAAATATCTTACAGTCGCTGGTGCTCGAATCCAGAACCTCTAAAAATAACAATGATTCTTTTAACTATCAAAACCGTTTAATTCGAAATACAGTGACTCAAGCATTTCAAGATCTTAAGTTTATTTTCAATTTAATCCTCCATATTCCTCCATATTCACTCATTAATTGATTAGAAGAGTCATTTTAGTTTATCGCAATAAAAAGGCCAAAATAGTGAACAAAGAAAAATTTAAGATCTATATTAGAAATATGAATATAGTTTAGTGGCTAATATTTTATTATACCAAAAATAGTTTACAACTTTCTTGTCAATAGTTCCTTGTAAACCCCGCCATTATATTTTTCTTTCTTCTATCAAAGCATTCACTATCCAGTGTCACTTTCTGCTTTCATTTCTCCAAATCTCCTCTCCCCGACCAACATTAGCAGCCAATGACCGCCGCCGAGGCAACCGTCGCCACGACAACCCTTCTCAGCCCCCGCCACAAACGTTCCGGCAGAGCTAACGGAAAAGGAAACGGCGTTAAAGTCACGGCAAGCAAGAAAACAGGCGTTCATCACGCCGACGGTGACATTTCTCACGGGAAGGCATCGTTCATGAAATGGACACTGGACGACGTCGTTTATGTCGCGAAATATCACCAGATACCCTGTTTTTTTGCGGCGGGGCTGTTGTTTTTCATTTACGTGGAATACACGCTCCGGATGGTGCCGGACTCTTCACCGCCGTTTGATCTGGGGTTCGTCGTCACGCGCTCCTTCCATCGCGCACTGGCTTCGTGGCCGGAACTTAATTCCATTTTAGCCGCTCTTAATACGGTATGCGACTGTTCATTACCTTTTCCTTTTGAAAAGTTTAGACTCGATTCGATTCCGAATATAATCAGAGAGCACGAGACGACTATGAGATATCCGGAGATCTCAAACCAAAAACAACAAGAAAATGTGGGTTTTGTTTTTGAATTCAATTTGCTGAGTTCAATTCGTGGCCTCTGAAAGTTCTACAATTGAGCTCGGACCACACAAAATACAAATGAGCGCCCTAAGCTACCTTCAAAATACAAGAAATCAGCGATCTTCCTTTAGGAAAAGTAACAGCCCACTGCAGCTCCTGATCCCAAGCCATAACAGGCCTAGGAATATTACACAATCTCAAAACTTCCCCTCACACCTCCTTCAAGTACGGGCAGGAAAAGAAGATATGATCTCGAATCTCACATAGGCAGCAGAACACACTAGAATTGTCATCAACAATACCCCAACGCAACAATCTATCCTTCGTGTTAAGCCGTCCCAAGACCGCAAGTCAAACAATAACCGAGTGCCTAGGGACCCTAAGAGGAAACCATATCAACCTATGCCAGGGAACAATGCTACCCTTAGCCCTTATCTCCGACCAAAGCCAAGAGGGAGTAATCATGTTCCAGTTCGACACACCACCAAGGAGGGGAAAAGCTTGCTCTCTGCATTTCTCATAGGCCAACTAAAATGACTTTTACTCTCAACTTTCTATAAACTTGTCCCCTTTAGCACATAGCAATGAATCCAAGCAACCCACAAGGATCCCTGTCTAGCCAAGATATCTGGCATAAGGGAAAAAAAAGCGCAAATATTCCAGTACTTTAAATCTCGCAACCCCAAACCCCCCTCTACTTTAGAAAAATAAACCTGAGCCCAGCTGACCTTTGCACCCGCAGCCGAGGAATCAGACCCCTTTCAGAGAAACCGTACACAAAACTGCTCGATGCGTTTAACAACCGCTTGGGGAAGAATGAGCCGCCGACACCAAAAATTAACAATGCTAAAAATAATCGAAAGAACAAGCTGCAAACGACCTGTATAGCTAAGGTGAAGATGACCCTAAAGTCCCAATTTGGCTTTAATCTTCTCAATAAGGGGATAACAGTTCTCAGATAATTCTGAACTCCTAGATACCTAACAAAGAGATGACCCATCTTAAACCCGAAAAGCACCTGAATCTCTTCCAACTGATCAGCAGTGATCCGTGTAGCAAAAAGCTCACTTTTGACAGCATTAAGCCTCAACCCAGACCACAAATAAAATTGCACCAACACACACTTAATCCCATTAACAGAACTAAGAGAGCCCTTACAAAAAATAAGTAAGTTATCAAACACAATCGAGACGACAAATTAAATTTCTCCAACACACACTTAATCCCTACCTGATGCTCCTACCACCCTTAAAAAACCCAACAAGACTGCCATTTAGAACAATCGAGAACCTAGGAGTGGTCAAACAAACTGCAACCCATCCCCTAAACTGATCAAGCATACCCAAAGCCTCAAGCACAGTCAAAATAAAATCCCAACTCAACGTGTCAAAAGCCTTATGAAGGTCAACCTTCAGAGCACATCTAGGCGAAAGCGACTTACGAGAATATACCTTTCACAAAAGTAGTTTGATTAAAAACAATCATATTAGGAAACAAAGGGTCAAGTCTGCCAACCAAAATCCTAGTAACAGTCTTATACACGAAAGAGCAGCAAGAAATAGGTCTAAAATCCTTGGGCAAACACGGATTAGAGACCTTAGGAACAAGGATCAGTGCAGTGGCAAGGCAACATACACGTGAAAGAGAAGAAAAACCGAATAACAGAAACAAAATCCTCTCCCACAACAGGCCAGGCAACTTTGAAAAATAAAGAAGTATACCCATCAGGTCCAGGAGCCTTGTCACTTCTCCGACTGAAAATAGCTTCTTTTATTTCAGAAGCAAAACCTCCCGACAAAGAGACTCAGAATCACCAGCAGGCAACACACACTGGAGCAAATCCTTACAAAAAATTTATACTAACCCCACGGACCTCTGGATCAAGCGTGCCCACTAGGTTAGTGAAAAAATCAATAGCAACAGCAGACATACCCTCTGGATCAGGCGTGCCCACTAGGATAGTCTGATGTAATTGCATGCTAAAAATATCTAAAGTTTTCTATAAAAATTAACATGAAGTAGAAATGTGATAATCTGAAGAGGTAAGGGCGTTAATTTTTGCTAGATTAATGGTCTGATGAACTCTGCTTATATGTTTGATAGGTGTTTGTTGGGATGCAATCAGTGTATGTTGAAATTCACATACAATTCTTGAAGTTTTCAAGAATATACAGAAGCGTATTTCTTATTCAACGTTAAGCAGTACATTTATACATGAGTTCATAGACTTAACAGCCTTCTAACTGCTCCTAACCACTCCAACAGACTCAACAAACTGCTAACAACCTACTCATTAATTGTGCACACATCAAACTAACAGCAACATATGTGAACTCACGAAAGCATGAGTTCATGCTTCAACATTCTCCCTGTCCTCCTCGGTTGTTCTCGTTTCAGCTACCTGAACTTTTTGACTAAACAGAACATGTGCAGATTTAGCCAAAGGTTTGGTCATTCCATCAGCCACTTGATGCTCTGCTGGTACGTAACTAACACGAACAGCTCCACATTCTACCTTTTCACGCACAAAGTGTATGTCCAATTCTATATGCTTCGACCGTGCATGAAACACCGGATTAGCACTCATGGCAACCGCACTCGTATTGTCACTCCATACGACCGGTATCGCATCAACTTCTTCCCCCAAGTCAGTCAACAAGGACTTCACCCAAATCACCTCAGCAACCGTATCAGCAATACTACGGTATTCAGCTTCTGTTGTTGAACGAGCAACAGCCTTTTGTCTCTTTGCACTCCACGAGATCAAATTGCAACCAAGGAACACACATGATCCTGACACCGATCTACGATCATCAACATTACTGGCCCAGTCAGCATCTGCAAATGCAGTCATACTGCAAACTTCAGCTGCAGAAGAACGTCTAAACACTAAGCCACATTCAATCGTTCCACTCAAGTAACGCAATATCCGCTTAACCGCAAGCCAATGACCATCACAAGGTCGATGCATGTACTGAGCTACCCGATTAACACTAAAGGCGATATCTGGTCTTGTATGACTCAAGTACAACAAGGAACCGACTATGCTTCGATACATCCATGCATCCGAAAGCGGCTTCCCGGCATCACTAGTCAACTTCGGTGAAACCACCATCGGTGTAGGTGCAGGTTTAACAGTAAGCATAGCAGTCTGTTCCAGCAACTCTTTAATAAACTTGCGTTGGCTCAACACCAACTTCTCAGAGGTCCTATGCACTTCAACACCTAGAAAGTATCCGAGTTCTCCCAGATCTTTCAACGAGAACTTCGCACCAAGTAGATTAACCACCTCATTAATAGCTTCATTAGACTCACCTGTGATGATAATGTCATCGACATATACCAGCACTATTATACGAACATCACCCACTCGGCGGATAAACAAAGACGCATCAGCCTTCGTATCACGAACCCGAGCTCCAGCAGGTAATTGCGCAGCTTGGCATACCACATGCGTGGTGCTTGTCGCAATCCATACAAAGCCTTCCTCAGCCTACAAACAAGCCGAGTTCCATCACTAGCCACTCGTTCAAAACCCGGTGGTTGGACCATGTACACCTCTTCTCCAAGCTCACCGTTAAGGAATGCGTTGTTAACATCCACCTGCCTTAAACTCCAACCTCGAGTCACAGCAAGAGACAACACAGCATTTACAGTAGTAGTCTTCACCACCGGACTAAACGTGTCACCGAAGTCATGGCCAGGTACTTGTGAGTAACCCTTCGCCACAAGACGTGCTTTATGCTTCAACACAGATCCATCCGCATTAAACTTAACCTTGAATAGCCATTTGCAGCCAACTGCTGCTCGCCCTTTTGGTAATGGTTCTAACGTCCAAGTGCCATTCCTCACCAACGCATCATATTCAGCCAATACTGCTTCCTTCCATTGTGGATCTTGAAGCGCTTGCTTTATCGAGCTTGGCTCTCCAACATTGCCCTGAGTTTGTGCAACAAAAACTCTTGGTTTAAAAATCCCTCGCTTACTGCGTGTAACCATTGGATGCTCATTGTACACCGAAGGACAGACTGAGGTAGCCTCAACACGGTCTATCTCAGCAACAGTCTCAACACGGCCTGTCTCATCAACCAACACACCACCAACCTCATTGATCTGACTTTGCTCCAACCCCACCGAGCTATTGTCTTGACTTCCACCAACACTTCCATTCTCAGTATGTCGACTCACCCTACTACTCGATGCTCCAACTTCAGCAACTGTTGGCACACCGTTAGTACACACTGGGGTATATTGACTCTCTTGAACAACTGGTTGTGTTGAATTACCACAAACACGTTGAGCACCAGGAATTACAACCAACGAAGCTCTACTACACGGTTTTCCCACAGCAATCTCATTCTTCTCACTTCCAGACTTAGCAAATGGAAACTCATGCTCATCAAAAACGACATGCCGAGACACATACACCCGTCCATCCGATGCTAAGCATTGATATCCTCGATGATTGATGCTGTACCCCAAAAACACGCACGATTGTGACCTGTACGCAAGCTTGTACGGTTGAAACACCCGTAAATGAGGGAAACATCTACAGCCGAACACCCTCAAATGATCATACGTAGGGGTTTTCCCAAACAATCTCTCAAACGGAGTACGGCCTTGAAGTACCTTAGTTGGCAATCTATTAATTAAGTGAGCTGCTGTTACAACTGCAAAGGACCAGTATTTCAACGGTAATGAAGCTCGAGCTAATAAGGTCAAAGCCATCTCAAACAAATGCCTATGCTTCCTCTCAACAACCCCATTCTGTTGAGACGTATGAGGACATGTCACTCGGTGTTTTATACCACACTGTGCAAGAACAACAGATAGCGACCGGTACTCACCTCCCCAATCCGTTTGCACAGCCTTAACCTCCTGTCCAAACTGAGTTCGAACCAACTTCTGAAACAGCTGAAACGCACTAACAGCCTGCCCTTTGCTCTTCAGTAAATACACCCAAGTATGCCTCGAAAAGGCATCTACAAACGAGACGTAGTATCTAAAGCCATTCGACTCAATGTGACCTGGACCCCATAAATCAGAAAATACTAGTTGAAACGGTTGTTCATACTGAGTTTCAGAAGCATAAAACGGCAGCCTATGGCTTTTGCCCATATGACACGAAACACATACTGGAAGAACCTCTTTATTAAAACCACTAGGCAAACTGATATTACATTGTTTGCACACTTGCAACAAGACTTTATAAGACGGATGACCTAAACGATCATGCCACAATACATAGCTGTTATTAGAATTAAAAGCTATATTTGCTTCAGCAATTCGGCCTTGAGTAGACATAACACCATCGAACTCATACAAGCCACCAGTCTCTCTTCCTCGCAATAATTCAGCACCGGTCCTTTCATCCCGAACCACACAATGCTGAGCATGAAACTCTAAGAACACTCCATTATCCCTAGCAAGCTTGGAAACCGATACCAATTTCTTAGTAATTGAAGGCACATGCAACACATCGCTCAATATTAAAGCACGAGATGCAGTACTAACATTAGCTTTACCAATTCTAGTTATAGATAAACCACTACCATTGCCTACAGTCAGCTTACCAGCTCCAGTATAATCCGAGCCATCTATCACTTCTGTAGCGTCAGGCGTGATATGGTGAGTTGCCCCCGAATCTACAAACCACGAGCGTGGAGAAGAATTCGTGGCAGCTATGTTTGCAAGAGGCTTGAACCGTTCTTGATCATCCAACCCTGTTGTACCTCCATTTGTATTATTTACACAGGAACACTTGTTAGAATTATATTGACAAACATTAGCCGTGGGCACTCGTTCCTTAAATGAGTTCCTTGAATCAGAATTCCTCAAATCAGACTCATCTACACCCAAGAAAGACTTATCGAACCTGTACCAACACCTATTCACGAGGTGACCATTCTTGCCACACAGCTGGCACTGTAGCTTGACACGTCCTCGACCACGACCAGCTTGACCACTATATGTGGACTGCCTCTCCGATGTAACCTGATCTTGTCTGGTAAACCGATTGGTTCTATCATCCACAGATGCTTTTACTTGAGCAACATTAGCCGCAGCTGTTATGTTGTCAAACTTACTGAAGTTCTTCTGCTGAGTCTCAGCATCGATTAGAACAGATACAACTCCTTCCAGATTCAAGGCGTCACGACTGGCTGACAAGACAGTAACCACCGGCCTATATTCAGCCGATAACCCATTCAATATAGTCGCAATGTGCTCTAGATCAGACACTGGACTACCACATGATGCTAGAGCATCACATATTTCCTTAACTTGAGAGATATAGCTGCGCATTCCTAAATCTCCTTGATGAACAGCTTTCAGCTGGTAATGCAAATTCATTACTGCCGTTGTAGACTTACAGGCGAAGACCTTATTGACGGTCTTCCAAACCTGCGCAGCTGTCTCAGCCCCTACTAAGTGCGGTAGCAAGGTTGGACTAATCGTAGATAACAACCACGACGCCAAAGCACTGTCTTGGGCTACAAAGACTTCATGATCTTCGTTTTCAACAACCGTGCCATCGTCAAGCACAACCGTCGCTGGTGGAGAAACAGCCGCCCCAGAAAGCAGCTTCTCAAGTCGATGACTCCTAACAGTCAACAACACCTGTTGTTTCCAAAGCAAGAAATTCCGTTCATCGAGCACCACACTCAACCGTTTGTTAGTAAACCTCTGGAAGCAGTTACCAAATGTTCAGCACTGCTTACAGCACCGCCGGAAATAGGAGAGGCCGAAAGCACCATAGCTCCAACGTTGGCTCAACAGGACCCTGACACAACTCCTTCTACACCACCAGAACACTAGCATCTGATACCATGTTGAAATTCACATACAATTCTTGAAGTTTTCAAGAATATACAGAAGCGTATTTCTTATTCAACGTTAAGCAGTACATTTATACATGAGTTCATAGACTTAACAGCCTTCTAACTGCTCCTAACCACTCCAACAGACTCAACAAACTGCTAACAACCTACTCATTAATTGTGCACACATCAAACTAACAGCAACATATGTGAACTCACGAAAGCATGAGTTCATGCTTCAACAGTGTATATAATAGGGACCTGGTTAGTTGAGGGTCGACCAAGGGCGACGATTTCTGCTTTGTTCATGTTCACTTGTCGTGGGATCCTTGGTTACTCCACGCAGCTCCCATTACCTCAGGTTAACTCTTAATCTATTTCTGTCACGACCCGCCAGTTGACTGAATATTTTCATTCTCCCCGTAGCATCGCATAGCAACATGCTCGCGATTCGGTATTGTCTTGTTTGAGCACCTACTAGTGCCTTGTGCTCTACCAACCCTAGGTTTGGTTTCGGGTTCCAACCTTGGGTGGCTAATTCCGAAGAGCACAATACCAGACCGTCTGCATAATGCTATCCGGTTGGGAAAACGAGACTATCTGATTGGTCAGCTGCTTGTGTTAAATTTTCATGGTTTGAAATATTCTGATCTGAAACATTGGTATACATACATATGGTTTTGATATAAGCGCTAACGTTTGAAGCTTTGATGAATGGCAGGAATTTGTAGGGTCAGGGATGGATTTTCCTGTAGGGAATGTCTCATTTTTCCTCTTCTTCTCCGGCCACGTTGCTGGATCGGTGATTGCATCGTTGGACATGAGGAGAATGCAGAGATGGGAATTGGCATGGTTATTCGACACACTCAATGTGCTTCAAGCCATGAGATTGCTCGGTACAAGGGGTCACTACACGATCGATTTGGCGGTTGGCGTCGGTGCCGGGATTTTATTCGATTCGCTCGCGGGCAAGTATATAGAGAGCAGGAAAGAAGCTGCTCTTACGTGAGGTACCAATGAAGTAAGCGTAGTCAATAGTGAGGAACTAGTAATAGTATTGTCAATGAACATGTTCTTGGATCTTCAAATTTTGAAGAAAAAGATACTGTTTTTATAATCAGCTTCTGTGCACTTGTGTTTGATGATATCCTTCCAAATGGTGAATGTTATTAAACTAGAGTACTCCATCTATTGATATGATTTTAGTTCGAGTCTTGGGTTGTAGTACTACTAGATACTTGATGAGTGAGTTCGATTTTTTTTCAGTTCTTAACCGAATCAAAGATTCTTGTTTGGACATATCAAACCAGATAAACAATCGATTTTCGGTTCAATTGATCGGTCCAATCCTCTATTGTTTTGTAACACTGTTGATGACTCCATCATCTACATTCTATACAACTACCATTTCATTTTAATCTTGAGAACTGCAAGGAGTAATTTAAGACGCATAAGAGATGCAACTGGCTAACAATTAGTCTTCAGCATCGGAATCAATAGGACACGAGCCTTCGTCTACATGGCCAGAGGGTCGTACAGGTGCGAGTTCGTGTCCATGCATCCCAGAACCAGATCAAGACTGCAACGATCGCCCTGCAAATGGAGTCAAGGATTTACGAATTTTCATATATGAACTTGATGCTTCACCTTATGAGGAAGAAAACAGATGAAATAACACAGGTTTCGTTTTTACTTACTCCTTCCTTGGACAAGTTACCAATCATCACACATCTATCCACAACAATACTTGTGTCTGGAAATATTGCTCAATCACATGCACCTTCTTTACTCAGCTCCTCTGCTAGCCCCTGTTACCATGATATTCGGATTAAGGTGTGTGTGTCGAATCGAATACATATTCAAAATTTTCCAAATTTTCATGCATTTTGAGAGCTTAGAAGATCATATTTTCATGTCCATATCGAAATATGCATCGAATACAAACATATTTTACCTGGTTAAAGAATTCTATTGGTCTGTTTTGTCATGCATGTGGAACTTGAAACTGTAGTCTGAAAGGACCATCCCAATCAACTCCATTTGTGAATGAGAATATCAAGTTCACAGCTGCCAAATGAAACTAGAGAAGATGATGACAAGTGATCGATCGGAAATCAAACGGAAAAAGAAATCGAAAAGTTCGCAAGAAAGAAAATTGAAATCTATGAAACATACATACCACGCTTAGGAATACATATTTGTATGGTGTATATTGGACTATCAGCTTTGCCTCTAGCTTTCCTCAGCATTTGTCTCGGACTCTCGGTTCACCACCACACATGATAGGCTGATTGAAACCTCCTGCAGAGTTACAAATTCATCAAGTCATAGGCTCATATCGGACTCTGATTTTTTTGAGTTCAAATCATTTCATGTTTGAGTAATTTTGGGTTTTCGACAGGTTCGTGTTCGTTTCGTCACCGAGAAATGGACTGTATTTCTTATCACATTAGTAAAGCTAAAGGGACAAGAGTATAAGAAATTACCATTAAAATCAATCCCAAAGTCTTCATTTGGAGCAAGTTCGCTTGCTGCTGGATTGTAGAAAAGCTTCAGCTTCTCTCCCTGTCATTCAAAAAAGACTAAAGAGTATAGCTCAAGCAACATGACATCAAAAAGTAGCAATGGCGCACTTACGTAAGTCGGAGGAAGACTGTTCATCGTCTTCCAATAAACAGGAGCCTTCCCCAGTTCGAACATCGCATACAAAGGACGCGTATACCTGAGAGGCACATTTAAGTTCAACATGTAACATTTACACATATGAAGATGATGAATTCCTCCATTTTCCACCCCTACAAGTTCTTGGCTTGTCGTAAACGACAAGCAAGACATCCCGAGAACTTCGAGGTCTTGGGTTCAAATCTCACCATACAACTTTTTGTAAGAAAAAGGAATCAATAGAAGTAAGTTGGGAGTCCATACTCTTTAATATCTTCCATGGGACCTTTTGTAATAGTAGCAGCATCACTAATTCTCCCACTAATCTTGACTGATCTCTTCAACTTTGGAGAATTACTGGGCAATGAGGCACCCATAAAGCTACTCGCTGCATTGAAAAGCACACAACTTTAGACATGAAAATAACCCTAATTTTATGCCACCTACGAATCATAAAATTTTAGGAGGACGGAATTAAATCATCAATAAAAAAAATATAAAAAATAATTAAACTATATGAAAATTTAAAAATTTCAGTAGTGATCATCCTGAACTCCCCTCGACCGATCCATGAATACAAACACTGTACCTCTCAATCGATTGGATGATGAAAAGGGTTGAGTTGGAGATGTAAAGATTGGTGCATTTTCTTCCAATGGAGAATACTCTTTTGTTCCCAAGATACAATGATGAAAAAGGAGAGAACTTTTGGTTAGAAAAGGTGAAAGAATTGAATTAGTATATAGAGAGAAAATCTGGGAAATAATATCTAATCCATGAAGATGACAGTGGAAGATTATTTAGGAAACTCAAGGGCTAAAACAAAAAGATAGCACAGAAATAACTGGATTTCATTCAGGACCGAGTCAAGATTTTAATTCAGGGACAAAGTATAACTAATAATAGAAAATAGGGACAAAATCAAAATAAATCAAAATTTAAATATCTACATTGGTAACTATCTCTATTTTTTTAATAGTAAAAAAAAATTGGGGGAGGGGCAGCGGCCCCCGGAGCCATGGAACGATCATTCCTCATCACATCACCAATTGCTCAAAGTCAATCCTTTTGATCATGGAACTTATATTTGGAAATTATTTCTAAATTTATCGAATATAAATGGTTGTCCCTTGTTCTCATATGTAATGGGACAAGGGGAGGTAAGATAGTAGGCTGCCCCTAACACTAGGTTGTGGGCAGCTTCCGTAGGAGACCTCCGAATTATGAAATGCTTTCCATGGGACTCGATCCCACGACCTCAAGGTTAAGAACCTTGTGCTCTACCAACTGAACTGGATGGTCATTTCAAATTTATCGAATATAAAATGAACTATTATATTTTTTTTCCAGAATTTATATTTGAGTAATTGTGTTAACATGATGTGTGTACGTTATTACTATACTATAAAATTATGAACAAATATTATTTTATAATCACATAAATTATTAAAATATATATATATATATATATATATATATATATATATATATATATATATATATATTTCTAAAAAGATTATTATAGTTCTTGTCATCACTACACCAAAATAAACTTTTAGTGGCGTTTTTCAGTCCTATAGCAGCGTTTTTAAGCGTCACTAAAAGCTTTCCTGTTTGGCGATAGTAAAAACGCCGCAAGAAGTCCTGGTCAAAGCAGCACCACAAAAGTTAGCGGCGTTTGTGAACACAAAACGCTGCAAAATGTCATGTTAATTTAATTTATAAAAATTTAAATTCTCAAGGACTTAATGATAATTATAAATTAGTTAAAAATTTAAAGATTCCTTATTTAAAATAAAGGGTAAACTATACAAGTAGACCACCTAAATGTTGTCTCATTTCATTTTGACCAATATTTTTGAAATTTTGTCAATCAGGTCATTCAACTATTTAAATGCATTCAATTAAGCAACTTGCAATTAATATTTAACAAAGAAGTTGATGTGGCAGTTAAAATATTTGGTATAATTACACATTTGATCACTGTTACTTATATATATATTATCAATTTGGTCCTAATTTTAATAAATTAAAATAAACTTAACCCTCAAATCTTAATTTTAAAAGATTTTAAAAGGTATGGCATATTCTATATTTAAAACGAAATAATTTTTTTACTAGAAATTCTATTTATGGTTCTTAGAAGCATCCTGTCAATGGTATCATAACCTCTTTTGATTGTAAGGAAAATATAGTTGATTAGCCCATGCATATAAAATTCACTGGACAAAATTTTTATCCAACTACTATTTGTAAATGACATTCTACTAAAAAAAGGTGATATAATATAACCTGTAAAACTAAGAAATTTTTATCTAGTAAATTTCTAATAGAAAATGTGACATATATTTTTTTCACGTTTGACAAATTCTTCCTTTAAAATTTTAAAAATTCACCTCCTACCATAAAAATTTATGTTCATCTTTAATAAAAGTTTACATTGATAAGATTCTCGATGGACTTAGCATGAAAAAAATTTCACTAAAAGATTGACCTATATCAAAAGGGCGATAAATTTAGTTTGCTTTAAATTTAATATCATAAATTATTGCTTGAGTTATTCAATTCTTTAGAAAAAAGATTTGTTATAAATATAAAATATATCATAACTTTTAAAATTAAAATAAATTAAAATAAAAAGTTGAATTTTGGTAATTATACATGGCATCATTTGATTTGAGGGCTAAGTTTATTTTAATTTATTTAAATTAGGACTAAATTGATAGAATATATAAGTAACAGTGACCAAAATGTGTAATTATACCAAATATTTTAACTGCCACATAAGCTTTTCCCTTAAATATTAACGGCAAGTGACTTAATTGAATGCATTTAAATAGCTGAGTGACCCGATTGACAAAATTTCAAAAATATTAGTTAAAATGAAAAGGGACAATAATTAAGTGGTAACTGGTATAGTTTACCATTTATTTTAGTTAATTTATCTTTAAATTTTTAACTAATTTATAATCATACGTTGAGTCATTTAGCATTTAAATTTTTATAAATTAAATTAATGGTGCTCGTCGTTAGTGATGCTCATCGCTGCTCGTCGAGCGTAGAAGAATCATCATGGGTTTAAGATACCTTTTTTACTAAAATAAAATATTTAATTTATTATTTTTCTCCATAAAATTTTAGATCGAAATCTTAAAACAATCAATTTCATATGCCTTAACTATGCAAATTATTGCAGTTTGGCTTAATACCTAAAATGGCTCAAGTAGTATACTGACATTCTCACTTTGACTCTTTTTATATGAACTTACCGAACAATCTCGTTGATAAAAGGAAGTGTTTACAATGTGACTCAATCATGTTTCTCTCCGTATAAAAAATATATATCGAAAATTGTAAAAATAAATTCTAATAAAATCCTAAACAGGTTTTAAAAAATTATTTAAAAATAATAAAAACAACTAAAAGTTTAAATTTTTTAATTGTTTTTATGAATTTTATTTTTTGAAAGATAAATTAAACATAATTATATATATATTTTTAAAATGTCATGCCATGAGATGTGTTGGATGCAGACGTTACTTCTAGGCGATGATTTCGTTTCAATTGACTTCTCGTGTCGAATACTAAAACTTTGCTTGTAGGCTTGACCATGGTATAAGGTAAGACCATTTTTCCTGACCCTTAAGAACAGTGTGAGCATGAGTAAGTTATGAAACCCACGTTGGATTTTATTTTTAGAAAGTATATTAAAAACTCAGAGGTAAGATATTATAAAATTTTAAAGATACAAATATAAAATTAATATATAAAATATAAAAAGAATTTAAAGTTCTTTTAAGGATCGATCCATTCACGATGAGGTTCACAATTGATTTATTCCGTCAATCAGCTTGAAAAGAGGGGATAAAAGCATTTCGAGTGGCTTCAGTCTCCCATTTAGTTTTTAACGACGGATACTAAAATGAAATGAAAACTAAACGTTAGGTATGATTTTGAAAAAAATGAATGTTCAGGTACCAAAACAAATCACAATTGATAGTTTAGGTACTAAACGCGTTAATTTTTTAACGGCGTGGTACTAAAATGAAATGAAAACTAAACGTTAGGTATGATTTTGAAAAAAAATGAAAGTTTAGGTACTAAAATAGACCAAAACTGATAGTTTAGGTACTAAACGCATTAAATTTTTAAAGACGGGTACTAAAATGAAATGAAAACTAAACGTTGGATATGGTTTTGAAAAAAAAATGAAAGTTTAGGTATCAAAATAAATCACAACTGATAGTTTAGGTACTAAATGCGTTAATTTTTAACGACAAAGTACTGAAATGAAATGAAAACTAAATGTTAGATATGGTTTTGAAAAAAATTGAAAGTTTAGATACTAAAACTGACCAAAACTGATAGTTTAGGTACTAAACACATTAAATTTTTAACGACGAGTACTAAAATGAAAACTAAACGTTAGGTATGATTTTGAAAAAATTGGAAGTTTAGGTACTAAAACAGACCAAAACTGATAGTTTAGGTACTAAACGCGTTAATGTTTTAACGACATGGTACTAAAATAGAATGAAAACTAAACGTTAGATATGGTTTTGAAAAACTTAAAAGTTTAGGTACTAAAACAGACCAAAATTGATAGTTTAGGTACTAAACGCAGTAAGTTTTTAACAACAGTTACTAAAATGAAATGAAACTAAACGTTAGGTATGATTTTGAAAAAAATTAAAATTTTAGGTACCAAGACAAATCACAAATGATAATTTAGGCACTAAATGCGTTAATTTTTTAAAGACAAAGTACTAAAATGAAATGAAAACTAAATGTTAGATATGGTTTTGAAAAAATTAAAAGTTTGTAGTTTAGGTCCTAAACACATTAAATTTTTAACGACGAGTACTAAAATGAAAACTAAACGTTAGGTATGATTTTGAAAAAATTAAAAGTTTAGGTACTAAAACAAACTACAACTAATAGTTTAGGTACTAAACGTGTTAGTTTTTTAACAGTGTGTATTAAAATGAAATGAAAATTAAACGTTACATATGGTTTTGAAAAAATTAAAAGTTTTAAGTACTAAAACGGAGTAACCCAAAAATTAATCAAGTCAAATAAAAATAGTATTGATAATTTGACTAAATTTCAAGTTCAAACACATAAATTATATATATATATATATATATATATATATATTTGTTTACCCTAAATAAAAAATTGACATTGTTTCACTTCAATAAACATGTGCTTCAAAAGATGGCATAAAAGCATTTCGAGTGGCTTCATTCTCCCATTCTAGCTGTTCCCACCAGTCTTGGAATCCCCTAATGGTGATGTGATTCCCTTTTGCACTGTCAGAGTTGAGAGGAAGCTTCTTCAGTTTTGGACAGTCCTCTATATAAACACTTTTCAGACATGGGAAGGGTAGGGCATCCCAGTATATGCTCTTCAATTCCGGTAGTCCCCATAGACGAAGATATAGAAGGTTCAGAAATGGTGTAGGGTATGGAATTCCCACATCATCTGCAACATCTCTGAGTCTTCCCTCGCTCAGTATTTCTTCCATCTCTGAACAATGCCATATCCAAAGATACCTTAGATTTGGAGCAAGAAACAGCCAGGTAACGTCCTTCAATTTGTAACAACTAGAAATTCTAACTTCCCTCAATGTGTGGAAGCGTGAAGTGTAATTAGTACTCGGAGAACCCCTGGTATGCAGTTTTTCCATTTTCATCTCCTCCATATTTCCACAGCCACGGATGTCTAACATCTCCAGACGCTCCATGTGTTCTAAACATAAAACATTAAACATATTTGTCTCCTGAAAAGTAAACTCTAGTGCTTCGGTGCTGCATCGAAACAAGTGGTGGCTTAGAAAACTTTGTAGAGCAGACATGCTTTGTATCTCTGGTATCCTTAATATATTCAGATGTTGCAGACTTTTCAATTCCACTATAAGCTTTTCATTATCATTCCCATCCAGAACATTGTCTTCCTTCGGGAAACCTCCTATTGCCTCCACGTCAGTCAACCTGAATATTTGCAACTTGGAAAAACTAGATATCAAATTCTGTGGGATTCTTCTGAGAGACCACATGTTCCTCAACTCCAACATTTTCAGTTTTTTCAAAGATTTCAACTCCATTGGCAACTCTGTTATACCAGTTCCGGATAGATCAAGACATTCTAGAGAAGTCAATCGTGAAATTCCCTTTGGTAGTCCTTCTAAATCACTGTTCCGCAACAAATCCAAAATAATTAGATGAGGCATAAACTGAAAGAAGCCATCGCTGATCACCTCTAAGCTATTTTCGCTAAGAAACAAAGTTTGAAGGTTAGGGCATTTAGGGGTTCCTCTCAGAACTTTAATCTGATTTTTCATCACCGACATTCTTTTTGCACCTTCCCATGCCTTAACATCTGGCTCCTCTAGTAATTGAGCCCCTGCTTTTACAAAGAAACTCTTCTCTTTCTCTTCCTCTTCAGGCTCGCATGCTATCCACAAACCCATGTCTCGGATCACATCATGCATCTTCACACATTCTTCTCCAAAAAATGATTCATCCACTCTTTCCAATAAAGAAGCCCTAAGAAGAGAGTTGATAATGTGATCTCCTTCCATCTGGGCTTCACTAATTTTATCTGATTCAAACAGTCCTTCACAAAACCAATACTCCACTAATGTCTTTGTGGGAATAGGATAATCTTCAGGATACAGACAACAATATAGGAGGCAACATTTCATTGTGGGATCCAGATAATCATAACTGAATTTTAAAAGCGGATATACCTCATTTTCCATTTTGGATAATCTGGATTGCTTCAACTTCGTAATTGCATGTTTCCATTCCTCAGGTGTCGTCCTGCAAGCCATGGCACGACCGATAATAACCAGTGCAAGAGGCAACCCACGACACTCTTCTGCTACTTTTTGAGCTAATTTTGGAATATCTGGATGGCTGTGGAGAGTTTCATCCCCAACCTTTTCTTGGAACAATTTCCAAGCCTCTTCTGGTTTCAGACACTCCACTTTAATTTTCTTTCGAGCTTCCATTTCAAAACAAACCTCCAAAGATCGAGTAGTGAAGATAAGTTTAGAACCGTTTTCTTGACTTGGTTCTGGAATCCCAACTTTGTTCAAATCCACCCTCTCCCATAGATCATCCAATAATACAACAAATCTCTTCTTGTGCAAGACTCCATATATATCTTCAGCTTTTTGGTCAACACTTCTATTTTTCCAAGATTCATCCGAAAACCCAATTCTCCCACCAATCCTGTCTTGAATCTTTTCAACATTGTAATCTTTAGACACCAACGCCCAAATTACGACATCAAAATCATTAGGTGTTGTGCTGAACTTGTTGTTGATTTGGGTCAAGAGTGTTGTCTTTCCAACGCCTCCTAGGCCGTAGAGGCCAATGATCCCCACATCTTTGTCCAGGAAGCAGCTCCATACCTCGTCGAATGTGGATTCAAGAGCAACTGTCCGATCCTCAGGTCTTACTACAACTGGAGGAGCGGGCTGAGTCTCTGCTACCTCCTCAAAAACTCCTTTACTCATGTGATCCCTTATGTCTCGAAGCATTTTGGCCACCTTTTTTCCAAACTTGTAGGTAGATAGGCAATTCTTGGAGAGGCAGCCGTCGAGACACAAGTTATTTATTTGTTGAGGGTTGACTGCAATCAAATTTTCCGCCTCTGTTATCATACTTTCTGCTTCCGAAAGCCATAGCTGAACTTGTTCGAGTCGCTTCAGTTGTCGGTGCTCGGCCAGATAAACCTTCCGTTGCATATCATTCTTTTTTGCCCTCAGCTCTGCAAGAGCAGCAGCCAAAGCCGGAAGAGTTTCTTTAAGCTTGCACATGTAATTAGCCTGTCCAACAATGGAGCCCCAACCACGAATGAGGATATTTTCGAAACTACATTGTACCGAGAAGCAATTGCCCATGATTGTGGTAATACTTGGGGCTTTCAAAATCAAACTAGACTTCCTGGTGAGAGGATCTGGAATTTGATGATTGAGAAAAAATGCAAGCAAGTAAAATTGAAAACACACAAACACAATCTAGAGATTGATTTTTGTTAGGAAGGAAAGGGGAAACAAAAACAAGAAAGAAGAAATCAAAGCTTCACAAAGAAATTGCTCCAAAATAAAGGATGCGCTTTTGGTTTTGGTTTGGAAGATGAGTACTGAGAAGGCAAAGGATTTGTGCTATGAAATTACTGCAAAATTCAGAGAAAACCCTTCCACTAAAAGCAAATATGGAATAAGGATAATGGGAATTTGTAATTGTGCTCTAGCAGTGGATTGGTAAAAAAAGACGAATTTTCCTTTAGAAATTATAACTCTTTTGGTAGTTATTGGTCTGTGCATGGGCCCATGCGTTTCTCTTGGCATGATAGCAAAGACGACTAAGAAAAAAATAAAGTCTTGGCACTTTATTTTTTTCGAGATGTCGTAAAGCATAGTTGATTGGCACTTTTCTAAACAAAAGGTGATCCACTCGGTATAAACGGATAACATTTGCTCTCACACTGTCCTTGCAGCTTCAATAATTGCGTTTGATTACATTGAAGCAGGGAATCCCAATTATTTACAATATGATCACTTCACTTTTTAGACACTTACATTTAGGTCCCTTAACTTTTAAAACTTGTAACACAATTTTCAATTTCATTCTAAACCTCAATTTCTTTTCGATCTCGAATTTTCTTTTTCGTTTCTCTCTTCTCATTTCCATCGTAACTTTTCAGTCGGGGATGCATGAGAAATTCTAATATAACTTTGAATTATGTGGAGTTGTTGACTTGAATAAGGGTCGAGTCGGGTCGGAACCCGTCAAATTCGTGTCACATGCCATCCCTAGAGGTACACACGTTTTTAAATTTTAATATTTTTTATTTAATTGTCTTTATATAATTAAAAAAATAATAAAAACTATTAAATAAAAATTAATTAATAAAATAATAAAAAATAGGGAAGGCGCATCACAGGGATGCACCTTCTAAACCAGGTAAAATTTTATTCAGGGGATGCGTCTTCAAAGAAAAATCTGACAATTATATTCTCTCTCCTCTTAAGGCATTTTTCACCAAATGTGCATCATTCTCTCTCATCTAAAAAAGTGTTAGATCATAAAATATTTAGAAAATGACAACTAAAAAATAATAAAAATATAAACCCTCCACCCGAACCAAATTCGATCCGACTGTTTGAGATAAAATCTGAACCCTAATTGACTTGAAATAATAAAAATATTATTTTTATTCAATAAAAATAGGGATTTAATTGAAAAATAATAATATTTAGAGGAGTATTATTGTAATTATTCTTAAATATATAAGGAAAAATTATATTTTTTTCAGGTTGGGTCGGATCAAGTATTTTTCATCCTAAACTCGAACCCGACTGACCCAAACATTGCCTTTAAAAATCCAATCTTATTAAAAAAATCCAACCCGAGTCGAGTCGGGTCGGAACTCGTCGGATTCAGGTCTCATGCCATCCCTAGAGGTACACACGTTTTAGAATTTTAATTTTTTTATTTAATTGTCTTTATATAGGTAAACAAAAATAATAAAAAAGTTATTGAATAAAATATTAATTAATAAAATAATAAAAAATAGGAAGGATCGTCTCAGAGGATGCGTCTTCCAAACCAGGTAAAATTCTCTTTAGGGGACATGCCGAGGGGAAATCTGACAATTATATTCTCTTTCCTCTTAAGTTACTTTTCACCAATCGCACCTCCTTCTCTCTCCTCTAAAAATATGTTAGATCGGAAAATATTTAGAAAAAATGACTAATCGAGAATAATTTATTTTTAGGTGATTTTTGGGTAAAAACCCAGTTTGAAACCACAAATCCATCGTTTATCATGGAGAGAACTCACAAGCGAAGAAAGAAAACCGACTTCGTGTTCATCCTCGGAAGCTGATGACACCGACAGTGTAACATCATGGACTTACTGTTTCTGGACACCATAGGTAGCAACATCAACAGAGTTTGAACCCAGAAGATGCAACGAGAGCGATTCAAGTGGGACACCATCAAATAGATGAAAACTTAAGAGCCTTATTCAAGTAATAGTGATGGTGAAGAGGGGAGACATGATAAGATCTCTTCTGCCTAACCGGCAGGACTTGATGAGAATATTATTTAATATCGATGGCTTGGGCAGGATTTTGAATCCATTTTCAAGATGTTAATAACTTAATATTATTGTGTAAGCTCTGCTTATATTTTCTTGTTTGTATTTGATAGTTTCATATTCATAGAAGACTGTTCTTACCGGTTTTGTTGCAGAAAAGGTAAATGTTTTATTGGGTTTAAAGGTTGAAGATAAAGAAAAATAGAAAATAATTATTTTGGAAGATTGTATAAGTTGTCATAAAATAAAAAGTACACGTGTAAAAATTTATTGGAGGGACATAGAGAGAGACACACAAAAGGGGCTGATTTTTTGAAATAATGCAGTAGAAAAAAATTGTTCGAATAATGTATTCGAGAGATTATTTGATCGAATGGGGTAAATGATACAATACACAATGAAGTCGCATTGGGCTCCCCGCGTCTCCCTAAGGTCGCATGGAACACCATGCGACTCCTCCTCCCCCGGATCACCATGCGACCCCCTCTACATGTAGCAATTACAGTGCCTCCCCCTCCCCAAATACCCAATTTTAGCCTTCCCATTTTTTTATCTAAACATTAAAACTTAAATAAAAATAAAATATGAAAAAAATATGAGAGACACATTATACTTCATGTGTCTCCCTCAAATTTATATTAGAGTCGCGTTGTAGTTTATGCGTCTTAAACTATATTGTAGCAAATATCCTATTTCAGAAAATAATTCCAATTGACTATTATTCGAGCCAATTAAGATATCTTCTTTTCTTCTTCTTCTTCTCCCACTGTGACTCTATTGTTAAGGTAAGTTTCTTTAAAGTTGGTTATTACTTTCATTTTTGGGTTGTTTTTGAAGCCTTGAGTGGTATAGAAGCTTAAGGAAAGCTTAAGGATGAATAGAACTAAGAGATTAAGGATTTATTGGTGAATTAGTAAAATGAGTTTTTAAAGGAATTGATGAAATTTGAGTAGTTATTGAATTCTAAGGGCATATTTGACTTTTCAAAGGCCTAATTAAGGTATCTAAATCATTAGAAAGGATTAAGAACATGTTTGAATGATGAGTATGACTTTTAGCTTTTCTATAGAGAATTTTAGATGTTTTAAGGGGATTAATGGATATAATTTGTGTGGTATAAGTGTTAGTAAGTTCAAGGGTTTGATTGGAGATAAAAGTATGAGAATTAGGTGACTTGTGTGTAAAATTCGAAGTGAAATAGGTAAATTATGGGCAAGAGTATCGGTACTGGAAGAACAATATCAATACTATAAGGTTAAATTGAAGGGAAAAGTTTGAATTTGATGAACAATATAGGTATTGATTGAAGTAGTATCGATACTGATGTGGAGGTATCGATACCATGAGTAAGGTATTGGTATTGTAATTGAAAATGAAATTCCAAAATGGTTTCGATACCAAAGTGAGTATCGGTACCATAGAAGAAAAGTATTGGTAATGTAGAAGGGGTATCGATACTATTCAGTCTGAAATTTAAATTAAGAGTTTTCATTCCATTTATGTAAGCATTAATTGGTTATTCGTTAATGGAAATGTGGTATTGATATTGGACATGTCTATGTGTAGATTTGGATCGTAAGCGTATCGAAAGAATCAACATAATACGAGATTAAACGAAAGAAAAATAATTTTGTTTAGGATTTTCGTGAGGCAAAGGTGAGTGCAAATTATTGTTTTATATTAGATATGAGGACGACTTGCGATAAGCCAACCTCGAAGGTTTTCGATCGAAAATTGTTTTATTTATTTTATTAACTTTATGAATTATTTTTATGATGCTTTATATAAAGTGTAGTTTCAAAGTATTGTTTTGATTTTATTGGTATGTGAATATGTTTATATGTGAATATGTTTTATATGAAAATGTTCTACGTGAAAATACCCTATGTGAATGTACTCTACATGAATAAAACACACTTTGAATAATGAAATGAAAAATAATTATATGGTTAAAGCCCAAGGTATATGTATGATAATTAGAGTTATAGTTGGCATATCAAGAGTCGAGGGTTCTATGCGGTCCTTCGGGACAAATTTCTACTTGGTCCTTAAGGACAAATTTCTACGTGGTCATTCGGGACAAATTCTACGTGGTCCTTTGGGACAAATCTATGTGGCACCTCGGTGCATATTCTACGTGGCACTTTGGTGCAAATTATAAGAGCAATTGTGACTGCATTTAGTGCACAACCTCAATATACTCAGATACCTTGAGTTCTCACTAATATACGTTGGGATAAAATAATAAAGTGATATAAATTAAATATTGATTAACAATAATATGTATTTTCATGAAATGTATCTTGATTTCAATATGAAATGTTTTATGTGGATTGAATAAGCAAGTGTTTTTAAATGGTTTATTATACTCATTATTGCCTCACTAAGTCAACGACTTAACGTGTGAGTGTTTTCACACGTAGGTTCTAAGAGATCGGAGGATCAAAGCTAGGATAGGACATCATACACTTGAATAATATCAAATCAGAATAATTTGAGCAATATATTTCTTATCATTTTGTAATTTTGTTGGCATATATCATAAGGTTTTTAAATTATAATGCTATAATAAGTTTTTGTAAACATACTATTTTACATTTATGTAAATTATCAAGTGTTTATTTTCATTGTGAGTTATGAATTTTAATATTAACTTTGTTATAAGGGTTTCACCACTTAAATTCAAATAAACGTTTGTGTTGAGTTAATCGATTGACGGAATCGGCCAAGAGGGGGTGAATTGACAATTAAAAATTTTGGTGGAAGCTTTTGCAGAAAATTGAAAGAAATTGCACAGCGATTTAGAGTGGCTCGACTTTATCAACCAAAGTCTACGTCCACTACCTTAGCTATCCACATTAAGGATTTTCCACAAATTCACTAATTTGTCTTTCTTTTGAGGACAAAGAGTAACCTTACAAACCCTCAAGAATTATACCCCAAATTCTTGAGAACACTCTCTCCCAAAGAGAACAATACAAATTTTGCAAACTTACAAGGAAATCCTCACAAGGTAGATTGTTTGCACAATTCTAGAACAAAGAAAAGAACACTCAAAGATGAATACAATTGAGCACAATATGTG